CATAAAATATATGAAAAAGTATGAATTAAACTATAACAAACAGTAAATAAATATAACAAACAGTACCAATAAACTATAAGGGTTAAATTGGAGTTAAATGTATTTTTTGAAACAGAAAAAGGATTTGAAACTGATTAAAAGTTAAAAACTATCATATTATTAAATATTTATGCAATGCTGTTCATCAAAGTAACAAAATATGGCAGGCCATTTTATCTCATAATATAAAATATGGCATACTGATGTATAATAAGGTAAGTATGGCAAGCTGTTATAGCATATAATTTAAAATTTTGCATGTCCTTGTAACATATACATAGCATTGTATGGCAGGATCAGGCCATTATATCATATAAATCTAAAGTATGGCAGGCTGTTGCATCATATAATCAGAAAACATAAAATATTAAATATTTTCAGTTTCCTTTTTGTAAAAACTGAGTGAAACTGCAGATCTGATTTAAAATGTTCAAACAGAACAGAGGCAGCAGATTTGTGTCATAATTATTCTTTAAGTTGACATCAAAAAGTAATCATTATTAGTGTCATAATTATAGACGTACAGCCAGTGATTATCATCTGAGACAAATTAAAATTCATCTCATGGTTCATTAAATATTTTGCTAACAGTAGCACACTCACCACCTCTCACATGACTCAATATGTACAATAATTGAGACARATGATTGATAGGGTTGTACATCTCAGTGACCACTCTGCACATTTATTTGTGTCTGTTGTAAAAACCACACAAAATCTCTCAACATTCAAAGTGACAAAGTTTATTTAACATAAAAGTAGGTTTCCTTCAGGCCTTCCTTGGAACAGAGATCTGCCATCTGAACGGGACGTGCCTGGTTAAATAAGAATAAATAAAATAAATAAATTTTGAATACTGAGAGATCATCTAGAGGTGAAGTGAAGAGACAAAGTTTCAGTCAGACTCTACATGTTGTGACTTGTGCTGTAATGTGCTGTCCGTGTGTTCGTACATTATTATTTCTGTTTTAATGTGGCAGAAAGGCAGCCTGTCCCTCCCTGTAGTTTYACCAGAGGTTGTCCACACAGATCACTACGAGTGGAGAAGATCAGCAGAGCCTGCAGACATTTTATCACAACAGGAATCCTGTGGTTTCTTCATGAAGACCAGCTTCACATGAACAGACAGGACAAACATGGCCACATGTTGTTCTGAAGTAGAGTTTTAACACATTTCTGACCATCTGTGTGTGTCTGTAGATGTCTTTTCTCAGGTGTCTGACTCTAAGGGTGTGCTGGTCCTGTCCAAGTTCGACAGCTTTCTGAGGGAGACCCTGAAGCTGCCCACTGCGGTACATGAAGGTCCATCCTTTGGCTCCGCCCACGCTGTGGCACGCTCCTGTTTCCCACAGCAGGTACACACACCTGCACCTCAGAACCCTTCAGTGACTGTCAGCTGGTTGTAGTGTTTTGTGTTAACGTGGTAAAAATGATGTGAACTGTGTTGTGTAGAAGAGGGTGATGCTCAACATGTTCCTGGACATCGAAGCTGAACCTCCTGAGTGTCTCATCTGGCTGCCTCTGATGCACCGCATGGCCAGTGTGGAGCATGGTACACACACACACACACACACGCACGCACGCACGCACGCACGCACGCAC